TGTACATATGTCTGTGTGTATATATCTGTAGTATGCCTGAATGTGTGCATGTATATACTGTATATATCAGCTGTAGCAGCATCATATGAATTCTGGCATTTTACACATAGTCCACCAGGAGGCGCCAACACAAAAGTCAGAGACWTCACATGARATTTGGACCATCTTGTGGGGGAAAAGCAGATTACTTCCTACTCGCGAGCGCCCCCTCTGGTGGGGAAACGTTTTTCAGGGATACAAACTTTTTCAGGACACCGGTAGACGGCAGCCATTACAGACGAACATGTATTTGTTGTTGTTCGAGGAGCGGCCCGGTCACACATTAATGTCATTAGTTTGTTATCATTACTAAGGTGCAGGAATACTTTTTCCCCTCTTTTTTTCACATCATATCACCTGCTTGGATCTGTTATTATCTCACTCTGAAGCACGGAGGAGTGTCACAGGTGAGCTCATTTCAGCTGCTTTTTACGACGCGGTCTCATTTCCGGACTCAGGCTTTTTGTGAATAAAGCCGATATTTCAGTTAAAATACATAAGTAAAACTATTTATCAGAGTATAGTACTACCCCCCAACTTTATGGATGATTTTATGGATTTAATTTTACGTATTATACTTGAATAAATACGGTAGCTACTGTTTATTTTAGTTAGCCTTTTGTTACATTTAGCTTTTAGTGTTCTGTTTTTAGCTTTGATCATCCAGTTTCACCTTGTTTGAGTCATGCAGCACTCAGCTGTTTGTTTCAGGCTTCAGTCGGTTTCTGTCTGCCTCTCAGAGTGACAGACACAGGTGTGTGTTTAACATGTTGACCATAAACAGCTGTGACAGTTCAGAAATCAAAATGTAGACATTTTTTCCTCAGGTTAGAGATTGTTGAAGCTGATGGTGGAGTTTTGCACAGCAGCTGCACTGAATCGCTTCAAAGTGGCTTCAGACATTTCCCCATTTTGTTTCCACTCTTTGTACACCGTGTTTGGAGTAACATCAACCTGCTGCTGTAAAATAATCTTGTTATAGCCTGGATTGATCTGTTTAAATAAGATCAATACACACGTGTTGTGAGCACATTAGCTCTGTTAATGGATTTGCGGGCCGCCTGTAAACACGTCTCTGTTTGAACGCTTTGAAAGAGGCACGGAGCAGAAAACAGCTTATGCTAATGGGATAATATTGTGTTGGCAGCTCAAAGGCTCGCAGGCGGCTGTAAATCCACTTTAACAATGATGTGAGCCGAGTCTGACGGCTGCGACACGCAGCTCAGAGTGGAGACACTAAAGGTCTGTTTGCTCCGACTGCATCCAGTTAACCTGAGAGGAGAGGAGCTAACCGTTAGCTGGGTGGGCTTCACACTGAACATGTTGATTCACACAGCAGAACCTCAAACAGTACTGATGTTCCACACTGATACTGAGTAAGATTGCCAGGTATCGGCAATACTGATCCGATATGGAGACTTTGTGATAACACACATGTGTCTGGTAAATCTTAGCCGCTTTATAAATAAAACACAACATAGTGCTCAGTGGTGGGCAGCGCTAATCCAAAAATTAGCTCCGCAATTTCTAAAGCGCTTGTTTTGTGATTTACGTGACATAAAAGTTTGGCTGTTTTTCTTTCCAGAAGTTTTTCTCGTGCAGCTTTTGTCCAGAGTCAAAAAGTCCAAACTGCTGATGACAAGAAGTGCTGATTGCACCATTCAGACTTGTTATGTTCTGTTTCCAGCAATTGGTTTGCAATTTGCTTGTACTCAGTAGTGGGCAGCACTAATCCAAAAATTAGCTCTGCAATTTCTAAAGCGCTTATGTAAATATTTAGGTCCGCAACTTCAAAAGTGCTTATGCCATAGAAAAACTAGCGGAAGCTAATTTTAAAGCACAAGTTCAATTTGACACTTACTAGCTGGCAACAATTCATGTACAATATAAGTACAACACTGCCAAGGAGCGATGTATGAACTCTTTTACAACTTAATCTTACAACTGCTGATTGCTGGGGATGTGATTTCCTGAAACAGACCTTTAACTCCTGGTGTAAAACTTAAAAAGTTGTTGAGGATTGCTAGTTCGGCTGCTTCTTTGTCTT